AGTGTATACCCTCACCTAACTGTGTACAGACAACCAGTGTATACCCTCACCTGGTCCCCAGTGTGTAACTGTGTACAGACAACCAGTGTATACCCTCACCTGGCCCCCAGTGTGTAACTGTGTACAGACAACCAGTGTATACCCTCACCTGGCCCCCAGTGTGTAACTGTGTACAGACAACCAGTGTATACCCTCACCTGGTTGTCTGTATATGCTAGGCCAGTGGTGATACACTGAGTTGTCTGTAGCTACCTAATAGACGCTGGCCAGGTGAGAATACACTGGTTGTCTGTACACAGTTAGACGCTAGTGTGGTGAGCCAAGATTGAAGTTGTCTGTACACAGTTAGATCTGTGGGGCCAGGTGAGGGTACTACACTGGTGAGGTACAGACAACCAGTGTATATCCCTCACCTGGTCCCCAGTGTCTAACTGTGTACAGACAACCAGTGTATACCCTCACCTGGTCCCCAGTGTGTAACTGTGTACAGACAACCAGTGTATACCCTCACCTGGTCCCCAGCAACCTGGTATACATAGCGTCTAACTGTGTACAGACACCTCACCAGTGTATACCCTCACCTGGCCCCCAGCGTCTAACTGTGTACAGACAACCAGTGTATACCCTCACCTGGCCCCCAGCTGTCTAACTGTGTACAGACAACCAGTGTATACCCTCACCTGGCCCCCAGCTGTCTAACTGTGTACAGACAACCAGTGTATACCCTCACCTGGTCCCCAGTGTGTAACTGTGTACAGACAACCAGTGTATACCCTCACCTGGCCCCCCAGTGTGTAACTGTGTACAGACAACCAGTGTATACCCTCACCTGGCCCCAGCGCCTAACTGTGTACAGACAACCAGTGTATACCCTCACCTGGCCCCCAGTGTGTAACTGTGTACAGACAACCAGTGTATACCCTCACCTGGCCCCCAGTGTGTAACTGTGTACAGACAACCAGTGTATACCCTCACCAACCAGGGCCCCCAGTGTGTAACTGTGTACAGACAACCAGTGTATACCCTCACCTGGCCCCCAGCTGCCTAACTGTGTACAGACAACCAGTGTATACCCTCACCTGGCCCCCAGTGTGTAACTGTGTACAGACAACCAGTGTATACTCTCACCTGGCCCCCAGCATCTAACTGTGTACAGACAACCAGTGTATACCCTCACCTGGTCCCCAGTGTGTAACTGTGTACAGACAACCAGTGTATACCCTCACCTGGCCCCCAGTGTGTAACTGTGTACAGACAACCAGTGTATACTCTCACCTGGCCCCCAGCGTCTAACTGTGTACAGACAACCAGTGTATACCCTCACCTGGCCCCCCAGTGTGTAACTGTGTACAGACAACCAGTGTATACCCTCACCTGGCCCCCCAGTGTGTAACTGTGTACAGACAACCAGTGTATACCCTCACCTGGCCCCCCGCAGTGTGTAACTGTGTACAGACAACCAGTGTATACCCTCACCTGGCCCCCAGCGTCTAACTGTGTACAGACAACCAGTGTATACCCTCACCTGGCCCCAGTGTGTAACTGTGTACAGACAACCAGTGTATACCCTCACCTGGCCCCCAGTGTGTAACTGTGTACAGACAACCAGTGTATACCCTCACCTGGCCCCCAGTGTGTAACTGTGTACAGACAACCAGTGTATACCCTCCCCAGGCCCCCAGTGTGTAACTGTGTACAGACAACCAGTGTATACTCACCTCACCTGTACCCAAATTATACGCTGGGGGCCAGTGTGTAACTGTGTACAGACAACCAGTGTATACCCTCACCTGGTCCCCAGCGTGTAACTGTGTACAGACAACCAGTGTATACCCTCACCTGGCCCCCAGTGTGTAACTGTGTACAGACAACCAGTGTATACCCTCACCTGGTCCCCAGCGTCTAACTGTGTACAGACAACCAGTGTATACCCTCACCTGGTCCCCAGTGTCTAACTGTGTACAGACAACCAGTGTATACCCTCACCTGGCCCCCAGCGTCTAACTGTGTACAGACAACCAGTGTATACCCTCACCTGGTCCCCAGTGTGTAACTGTGTACAGACAACCAGTGTATACCCTCACCTGGCCCCCAGTGTGTAACTGTGTACAGACAACCAGTGTATACCTCACCTGGCCCCCAGTGTGTAACTGTGTACAGACAACCAGTGTATACCCTCACCTGGTTGTCTGTACACAATTATACGCTGGGGGCCAGGTGGTATACACTGGTTGTCTGTACACTAGTATGCTGAGGGGGTGAGAGACTGAGTTGTCTGTACACTGATGTTAAGCTGAGGTGGAGGTGAGGTATACACTGATTGTCTGTACACAGTTAGACGCTGAAACCAGGTGAGGGTATACACTGGTGAGGTGTACAGACAACCAGTGTATATCCCTCACCTGGTCCCCAGTGTCTAACTGTGTACAGACAACCAGTGTATACCCTCACCTGGTCCCCAGTGTGTAACTGTGTACAGACAACCAGTGTATACCCTCACCTGGTCCCCAGCGTTTAACTGTGTATACTTGTCTGTAACGGTTAGGCAGCTGGGGGCACACTGAATGTTACACTGGTTGTCTGTACACCTCACCAGTGTAATATACCCTCACCTGGCCCCCAGCGTCTAACTGTGTACAGACAACCAGTGTATACCCTCACCTGGCCCCCAGCGTCTAATGTGTACAGACAACCAGTGTATACCCTCAACTGGCCCCCAGCGTCTAACTGTGTACAGACAACCAGTGTATACCCTCACCTGGCCCCCAGCGTCTAATTGTGTACAGACAACCAGTGTATACCCTCACCTGGCCCCCAGTGTGTAACTGTGTACAGACAACCAGTGTATACCCTCACCTGGCCCCCAGCGTCTAACTGTGTACAGACAACCAGTGTATACCCTCCCCGGGCCCCCAGTGTGTAACTGTGTACAGACAACCAGTGTATACCCTCACCTTGTCCCCAGTGTGTAACTGTGTACAGACAACCCGTGTATACCCTCACCTGGCCCCCAGTGTGTAACTGTGTACAGACAACCCGTGTATACCCTCACCTTGTTCCCAGTGTGTAACTGTACAGACAACCCGTGTATACCCTCACCTGGTCCCCAGTGTGTAACTGTGTACAGACAACCAATGTATACCCTCACCTGGTCCCCAGCGTCTAACTGTGTACAGACAACCAGTGTATACCCTCACCTGGCCCCCAGCGTCTAACTGTGTACAGACAACCAGTGTATACCTTCCCCGGGCCCCCAGTGTGTAACTGTGTACAGACAACCAGTGTATACTCTCACCTGGCCCCCAGCATCTAACTGTGTACAGACAACCAGTGTATACCCTCACCTGGTCCCCAGTGTGTAACTGTGTACAGACAACCAGTGTATACCCTCACCTGGCCCCCAGTGTGTAACTGTGTACAGACAACCAGTGTATACTCTCACCTGGCCCCCAGCGTCTAACTGTGTACAGACAACCAGTGTATACCCTCACCTGGCCCCCAGTGTGTAACTGTGTACAGACAACCAGTGTATACCCTCACCTGGCCCCCAGTGTGTAACTGTGTACAGACAACCAGTGTATACCCTCCCCTGGCCCCCAGTGTGTAACTGTGTACAGACAACCAGTGTATACCCTCACCTGGCCCCCAGCGTCTAACTGTGTACAGACAACCAGTGTATACCCTCACCTGGCCCCCAGTGTGTAACTGTGTACAGACAACCAGTGTATACTCTCACCTGGCCCCCAGCATCTAACTGTGTACAGACAACCAGTGTATACCCTCACCTGGTCCCCAGTGTGTAACTGTGTACAGACAACCAGTGTATACCCTCACCTGGCCCCCAGTGTGTAACTGTGTACAGACAACCAGTGTATACTCTCACCTGGCCCCCAGCGTCTAACTGTGTACAGACAACCAGTGTATACCCTCACCTGGCCCCCAGTGTGTAACTGTGTACAGACAACCAGTGTATACCCTCACCTGGCCCCCAGTGTGTAACTGTGTACAGACAACCAGTGTATACCCTCCCCTGGCCCCCAGTGTGTAACTGTGTACAGACAACCAGTGTATACCCTCACCTGGCCCCAGCGCCTAACTGTGTACAGACAACCAGTGTATACCCTCACCTGGCCCCCAGTGTGTGTAACTGTGTACAGACAACCAGTGTATACCCTCACCTGGCCCCAGTGTGTAACTGTGTACAGACAACCAGTGTATACCCTCACCTGGCCCCCAGTGTGTAACTGTGTACAGACAACCAGTGTATACCCTCCCTGGCCCCCAGTGTGTAACTGTGTACAGACAACCAGTGTATACCCTCACCTGGTTGTCTGTACACAATTATACGCTGGGGGCCAGTGTGTAACTGTGTACAGACAACCAGTGTATACCCTCACCTGGTCCCCAGCGTCTAACTGTGTACAGACAACCAGTGTATACCCTCACCTGGTTCCCAGTGTGTAACTGTGTAGAGACAACCAGTGTATACCCTCACCTGGCCCCCAGCGTCCAATCTGTAACTGTTTACAGACAACCAGTGCCCATCCCCTCACCTGGTCCCCAGTGTCTAACAGTGCCCATCCCCTCACCTGGTCCCCAGTGTCTAACAGTGTCCATCCCCTCACTTGGTCCCCAGTGCCTAACAGTGTCCATCCCCTCACCTGGTCCCCAGTGTCTAACAGTGCCCATCCCCTCACCTGGTCCCCAGTGTCTAACAGTGTCCATCCCCTCACTTGGTCCCAAGTGCCCAACAGTGTCCATCCCCTCACCTGGTCCCCAGTGTCTAACAGTGCCCATCCCCTATCCTGGTCCCTAGAGTTTAACAGTGGCCATCCCCTAACCTGGTCCCTAGAGTTTAAAAGTGCCCATCCCCTAACCTGGTCCACTGTGTACAGACAACCAGCTCATATACTGATTGTGAGTGGTCAACATGCTCTCAGAGCAAGGGATGGATTCAAGAATCCTTCAGGAATTCTAATGTCAGTTTCTTTCTTATTCAGCAACTCCACCAAAAACTTAGAGAAGTTGATCGGGAACTATTTCTACCAGACATTTGACTTTGTGGCTGACTACAGCATGGAGGTAAGCGACCACCTGTGCTGAGCCTACACAACATCCTAGTTCTGGAGGATACTCCTTTCAGTCAGATAACACCCTTTTTCTGGAGGAATACTCCTTTCAGTCAGATAACATCCTAGTTCTGGAGGATACTCCTTTCAGTCAGATAACATCCCAGTTCTGGAGGATACTCCTTTCAGTCAGATAACATCCTAGTTCTGGAGGAATACTCCTTTCGGTCAGATAACATCCTAGTTCTGGAGGATACTCCTTTCAGTCAAATAACATCTCAGTTCTGGAGGAATACTCCTTTCAGTCAGGTAACATCCTAGTTCTGGAGGATACTCCTTTCAGTCAAATAACATCTTAGTTCTGGAGGAATACTCCTTTCAGTCAGGTAACATCCTAGTTCTGGAGGATACTCCTTTCAGTCAAATAACATCTTAGTTCTGGAGGAATACTCCTTTCAGTCAGGTAACATCCTAGTTCTGGAGGATACTCCTTTCAGTCAAATAACATCTTAGTTCTGGAGGAATACTCCTTTCAGTCAGATAACATCCTAGTTCTGGAGGAATACTCCTTTCAGTCAGGTAGCATCCTTGTTCTGGAGGAAAACTCCTTTCAGTCAGGTAACATCCTAGTTCTGGAGGAATGCTCCTTTCAGTCAGATAACATCCTAGTTCTGGAGGATACTCCTTTCAGTCAGATAACATCCCAGTTCTGGAGGATACTCCTTTCAGTCAGATAACATCCTAGTTCTGGAGGAATACTCCTTTCGGTCAGATAACATCCTAGTTCTGGAGGATACTCCTTTCAGTCAAATAACATCTTAGTTCTGGAGGAATACTCCTTTCAGTGAGGTAACATCCTAGTTCTGGAGGATACTCCTTTCAGTCAAATAACATCTTAGTTCTGGAGGAATACTCCTTTCAGTCAGGTAACATCCTAGTTCTGGAGGATACTCCTTTCAGTCAAATAACATCTTAGTTCTGGAGGAATACTCCTTTCAGTCAGGTAACATCCTAGTTCTGGAGGATACTCCTTTCAGTCAAATAACATCTTAGTTCTGGAGGAATACTCCTTTCAGTCAGGTAACATCCTAGTTCTGGAGGATACTCCTTTCAGTCAAATAACATCTTAGTTCTGGAGGAATACTCCTTTCAGTCAGATAACATCCTAGTTCTGGAGAAATACTCCTTTCAGTCAGGTAGCATCCTAGTTCTGGAGGAATACTCCTTTCAGTCAGGTAACATCCTAGTTCTGGAGGAATGCTCCTTTCAGTCAGGTAACACCCTAGTTCTGGAGGAATACTCCTTTCAGTCAGGTAACACCCTAGTTCTGGAGGAATACTCCTTTCAGAGAGGTAACATCCTTGTTCTTGATGAAAACTACTTTCAGGTAACATCCTAGTTCTGGAGGAATACTCCTTTCAGTCAGGCAACACCTTATCTGGAGGAATACTCCTTTCAGTCAGGTAACATCCTAGTTCTGGAGGAATACTCCTTTCAGTCAGGTAACATCCTAGTTCGGGAGGAATATACCTTACAGTCAGGTAACATCCTAGTTCTGGAGGAATTCTCTTTACAGTCAGGTAACATCTTAGTTCTGGAGGAATACTCCTTTGGGTCAGGTAACATCTTAGTTCTGGAGGAATACTCCTTTCGGTCAGGCAACACCCTAGTTCTGGAGGAATACTCCTTTCAGTCAGGTAACATCCTAGTTCAGGAGAAATACTCCTTTCAGTCAGGTAACATCCTAGTTCTGGAGGAATACTCCTTTCAGTCAGGCAACACCCTAGTTCTGGAGGAATACTCCTTTCAGTCAGGTAACATCCTTGTTCAGGAGGAATACTCCTTTCAGTCAGGTAACACCCTAGTTCAGGAGGAATACTCCTTTCAGTCAGGTAACATCCTAGTTCTGAAGGAATATTCCTTTCAGTCAGGTAACATCCTAGTTCTGGAGGAATACTCCTTTTGGTCAGGTAACATCTTAGTTCTGGAGGAATACTCCTTTCAGTCAGGTAGCATCCTTGTTCTGGAGGAAAACTCCTTTCAGTCAGGTAACATCCTAGTTCTGGAGGAATGCTCCTTTCAGTCAGGTAAGACCCTAGTTCTGTAGGAATACTCCTTTCAGTCAGGTAACATCCTTGTTTTGGAGGAATACTCCTTTCAATCAGGTAACATCCTAGTTCAGGAGGAATACTCCTTTCAGTCAGGCAACACCCTAGTTCTGGAGGATACTCCTTTCAGTCAGGTAACATCCTAGTTCTGGAGGAATACTCCTTTCAGTCAGGTATCATCCTTGTTTTGGAGGAATACTCCTTTCAATCAGGTAACATCCTAGTTCTGGAGGAATACTCCTTTCAGTCAGGCAACACCCTAGTTCTGGAGGATACTCCTTTCAGTCAGGTAACATCCTAGTTCAGGAGGAATACTACTTTCAGTCAGGTAACATCCTAGTTCTGGAGGATACTCCTTTCAGTCAGGTAACACCCTAGTTCTGGAGGAATACTCCTTACAGTCAGGTAACATCCTTGTTCAGGAGGAATACTCCTTTCAGTCAGGTAACATCCTAGTTCAGGAGTAATACTCCTTTCAGTCAGGTAACATCCTAGTTCAGGAGTAATACTCCTTTCAGTCAGGTAACAACCTCGTTCTGGAGGAATACTCCTTTCAGTCAAATAACATCTTAGTTCTGGAGGAATACTCCTTTCAGTCAGGTAACATCCTAGTTCTGGAGGATACTCCTTTCAGTCAAATAACATCTTAGTTCTGGAGGAATACTCCTTTCAGTCAGATAACATCCTAGTTCTGGAGAAATACTCCTTTCAGTCAGGTAGCATCCTAGTTCTGGAGGAATACTCCTTTCAGTCAGGTAGCATCCTTGTTCTGGAGGAAAACTCCTTTCAGTCAGGTAACATCCTAGTTCTGGAGGAATGCTCCTTTCAGTCAGGTAACACCCTAGTTCTGGAGGAATACTCCTTTCAGTCAGGTAACACCCTAGTTCTGGAGGAATACTCCTTTCAGAGAGGTAACATCCTTGTTCTTGATGAAAACTCCTTTCAGGTAACATCCTAGTTCTGGAGGAATACTCCTTTCAGTCAGGCAACACCTTATCTGGAGGAATACTCCTTTCAGTCAGGTAACATCCTAGTTCTGGAGGAATACTCCTTTCAGTCAGGTAACATCCTAGTTCGGGAGGAATATACCTTACAGTCAGGTAACATCCTAGTTCTGGAGGAATTCTCTTTACAGTCAGGTAACATCTTAGTTCTGGAGGAATACTCCTTTGGGTCAGGTAACATCTTAGTTCTGGAGGAATACTCTGTTCGGTCAGGCAACACCCTAGTTCTGGAGGAATACTCCTTTCAGTCAGGTAACATCCTAGTTCAGGAGAAATACTCCTTTCAGTCAGGTAACATCCTAGTTCTGGAGGAATACTCCTTTCAGTCAGGCAACACCCTAGTTCTGGAGGAATACTCCTTTCAGTCAGGTAACATCCTTGTTCAGGAGGAATACTCCTTTCAGTCAGGTAACACCCTAGTTCAGGAGGAATACTCCTTTCAGTCAGGTAACATCCTAGTTCTGAAGGAATATTCCTTTCAGTCAGGTAACATCCTAGTTCTGGAGGAATACTCCTTTTGGTCAGGTAACATCTTAGTTCTGGAGGAATACTCCTTTCAGTCAGGTAGCATCCTTGTTCTGGAGGAAAACTCCTTTCAGTCAGGTAACATCCTAGTTCTGTAGGAATGCTCCTTTCAGTCAGGTAAGACCCTAGTTCTGTAGGAATACTCCTTTCAGTCAGGTAACATCCTTGTTTTGGAGGAATACTCCTTTCAATCAGGTAACATCCTAGTTCAGGAGGAATACTCCTTTCAGTCAGGCAACACCCTAGTTCTGGAGGATACTCCTTTCAGTCAGGTAACATCCTAGTTCTGGAGGAATACTCCTTTCAGTCAGGTATCATCCTTGTTTTGGAGGAATACTCCTTTCAATCAGGTAACATCCTAGTTCTGGAGGAATACTCCTTTCAGTCAGGCAACACCCTAGTTCAGGATACTCCTTCCAACACCCTAGTTCTGGAGGAATACTCCTTTCAGTCAGGTAACATCCTAGTTCTGGAGGAATACTCCTTTCAGTCAGGTATCATCCTTGTTTTGGAGGAATACTCCTTTCAATCAGGTAACATCCTAGTTCTGGAGGAATACTCCTTTCAGTCAGGCAACACCCTAGTTCTGGAGGATACTCCTTTCAGTCAGGCAACACCCTAGTTCTGGAGGAATACTCCTTTCAGTCAGGTAACATCCTTGTTCAGGAGGAATACTCCTTTCAGTCAGGTAACATCCTAGTTCAGGAGTAATACTCCTTTCAGTCAGGTAACATCCTAGTTCAGGAGTAATACTCCTTTCAGTCAGGTAACAACCTCGTTCTGGAGGAATACTCCTTTCAGTCAGATAACATCCTAGTTCTGGAGGAATACTGTTTACAGTCAGGTAACATGCTAGTTCTGGAGGAGTACTCTTTACCGTCAGGTAACACCCTTGTTCTGGAGGAATACTCTTTTCAGTCAGGCAACACCCTAGTTCTGGAGGAATACTCCTTTCAGTCAGGCATTATCCTAGTTCTGGAGGAATACTCCTTTCAGTCAGGTAACATCCTTGTTCTGGAGGAATACTCCTTTCAGTCAGGTAAGACCCTAGTTCTGGAGGAATACTCCTTTCAGTCAGGTAACATCCTAGTTCTGGAGGAATACTCCTTACAGTCAGGTAGCATCCTAGTTCTGGAGGAATACTCCTTTCAGTCAGGTAACATCCTAGTTCTTGAGGAATACTCCTTTCAGTCAGGCAACACCCTTGTTCTGGAGGAATACTCCTTTCAGTCAAGTAACATCCTAGTTCTGGAGGAATACTCCTTTCAGTCAGGTAACATCCTAGTTCGGGAGGAATATTCCTTACAGTCAGGTAACATCCTAGTTCTGGAGGAAAACTCCTTTCAGTCAGGTAACATCCTAGTTCTTGAGGAATACTCCTTTCAGTCAGGTAACATCCTAGTTCTGGAGGAATACTGCTTTCAGTCAGGTAACACCCTTGTTCTGGAGGAATACTCCTTACAGTCAGGTAACACCCTAGTTCTGGAGGAATACTCCTTTCAGTCAGGCAACACCCTAGTTCTGGAGGAATACTCCTTGCAGTCAGATAACATCCTAGTTCTGGAGGAATACTCCTTTCATTAAGGTAACATCCTAGTTCTGGAGAATACTCTAACAAGCAAGTAACATCCTAGTTCTGGAGGAATACTCCTTACATTCAGGTAACATCCTAGTTCTGGAGGAATACTCCTTTCAGTCAGGTAACATCCTTGTTCAGGAGGAATACTCCTTTCAGTCAGGCAACACCCTAGTTCAGGAGGAATACTCCTTTCAGTCAGGTAACATCTTAGTTCTGGAGGAATACTCCTTTCAGTCAGGTAACATCCTTGTTTTGGAGGAATACTCCTTTCAATCAGGTAACATCCTAGTTCTGGAGGAATACTCCTTTCAGTCAGGCAACACCCTAGTTCTGGAGGATACTCCTTTCAGTCAGGTAACATCCTTGTTCTGGAGGAATACTCCTTTCAGTCAGGTATCATCCTTGTTCTGGAGGAATACTCCTTTCAGTCAGGTAACATCCTTGTTCTTGAGGAATACTCCTTTCAGTCAGGTAACATCCTAGTTCTGGAGGAATACTCCTTTCAGTCAGGTAACATCCTAGTTCTGGAGGAATACTCTTTACAGTCAGGTAACATCTTAGTTCTGGAGGAATACTCTGTTAGGTCAGGCAACACCCTAGTTCTGGAGGAATACTCCTTACAGTCAGGTAACACCCTAGTTCTGGAGGAATACTCCTTTCAGTCAGGCAACACCCTAGTTCTGGAGGAATACTCCTTGCAGTCAGATAACATCCTAGTTCTGGAGGAATACTCCTTTCAGTCAGGTAACATCCTAGTTCTGGAGAATACTCTAACAAGCAAGTAACATCCTAGTTCTGGAGGAATACTCCTTACATTCAGGTAACATCCTAGTTCTGGAGGAATACTCCTTTCAGTCAGGTAACATCCTTGTTCTGGAGGAATACTCCTTTCAGTCAGGCAACACCCTAGTTCAGGAGGAATACTCCTTTCAGTCAGGTAACATCTTAGTTCTGGAGGAATACTCCTTTCAGTCAGGTAACATCCTTGTTTTGGAGGAATACTCCTTTCAATCAGGTAACATCCTAGTTCTGGAGGAAAACTCCTTTCAGTCAGGCAACACCCTAGTTCTGGAGGATACTCCTTTCAGTCAGGTAACATCCTAGTTCTGGAGGAATACTCCTTTCAGTCAGGTATCATCCTTGTTCTGGAGGAATACTCCTTTCAGTCAGGTAACATCCTTGTTCTTGAGGAATACTCCTTTCAGTCAGGTAACATCCTAGTTCTGGAGGAATACTCCTTTCAGTCAGGTAACATCCTAGTTCTGGAGGAATACTCTTTACAGTCAGGTAACATCTTAGTTCTGGAGGAATACTCTGTTAGGTCAGGCAACACCCTTGTTCTGGAGGAATACTCCTTTCAGTCAGGTAACATCCTTGTTCTGGAGGAATACTCCTTTCAGTCAGGTAACATCCTAGTTCTGAAGGAATACTCCTTTCAGTCAGGCAACATTCTAGTTCTGGAGGAATACTCCTTTCAGTCAGGTAACATCCTAGTTCTGGAGGAATACTCTTTACAGTCAGGTAACATCCTAGTTCTGGAGGAATACTCCTTTCAGTCAGGCAACACCCTAGTTCTGGAGGAATACTCCTTTCAGTCAGGTAACATCCTAGTTCAGGAGGAATACTCCTTTCAGTCAGGTAACATCCTAGGTCTGGAGGAATACTCCTTTCAGACAGGTAACATACAACGAGGAACAACTTTCCTATTGCAGACAATTTTTCTGACCTTACCAAGGCTGTCCTGTTTAATCGATGAAGAATGGCTGCATCCGGATACCTTCCAGTGCTGGGACACAGTGAAGTTGCGTGACTTGCATCGATGTCTGCCCCTGTACAATGTATCTTCCGGACTAAGAGAATGTGTTCCTGGGCCATGGAAGATAAAACCACCTGGTTAGTGAGCATGATGAGACAACAAACATCAAAGTTAGTCCACACATTCAAAACACACAACACATACAAGTAAACATATACAAACTCAAAGCAAACATTCAACAAGTCATGTAATAACACACACACACACAAATTCCAGCTCCATGCCCACATTCAACACACACACACACACACACAAACATGTGTCAGATTCCAAGCAGACACTCAGAGCACAGGTAAGGAGGGTCTGTGCACACATCAGGTAATGCTCAGTGCACTAAATGCACCCAAATCCACAGTCATGACGTCATGACAGACCATGCAGCACAGAACAGCACTAAACATCATGCATAGAGGATGCTTCTTTGTTGTAAACACTGATGCTGCCAGGTGTTGTATTTGTCAGGTGTAAGAGACACCAGTAGTGAAGACATTAATGACAGATTTCCTGTCATATAGTCCAGAAATAGTCTACTCATAGTATTCTTATGAATACATTCCTCTAAGAGCCTTTTCCCTGAAACTTATTTTTGAATCCACAGGTTCAACTTAAATAAAAAGCCCGTATATTTCTGTTGTCTTTCTTTCTAGTCCTCCAATAGATCAGGAGTTATCTCCCATAACCCAAAGACTGGGAAACTCATAATTTTTCCTGTGGCACATGATGGATGTGGTTACTTGTTTTTTGGAACATTTTGTCAAAGACGTTTTTCTAAGGTTTGGCTTATTTTGGCTGTCATGGGTAAGTAAATGGGCTCTGAATACATTTCATCCTCCCCCTTGTGTACACAAAAATTGCTCAGCCTGTGGAAAATGGTGTCCCCTTAGGTTCCACATGGAGATTGCTTGGACCGTGGAGACACTCTTTGCTCTTTTGTTTCCCGTTGTGATGCTTGTCAGTCGCTGTGTCCATCAGCTTTTGAGAAGTATGCTCTGGGCGTTAAGAAAGGTCAAGAAAAGATTACAACAAAGTGTTCTCCATGACTCCAGTCAAGATACCACAAGACCACAACTTTGATCTTACAAACTGTACATGCATTGATAGTTCTTGTACATTCAAGTGTCACTGTGGTCAGTAGGAGGACATCATATTTGTTTGTCGTTTGACACCACACTCAGCAAAGGTGTCGTACAGACCGCAGGGACAGTCTTCACAACAGAATGCAGTCAGCATATGAGCAGGAGAGTAGCTTCGAGATGCAGAGGCAGCATCATTTGCGAATATGCCCTTCATTCCAAGATAGGACCATTAATAGACGTTCTTCTTTCAGTTGTTCAGAGCATTTTACAGATGCTTTGGAGGATCTGGATTTTATGTCTATGGAATTAAGAATGGAATCATCAGATCACAATTCAGCCCATATGTGGATGCTCATTTACAGACAAGTTGGCTGCACTAAATGTCATATTGACAGAATCAATGCCATCTCTACCTGATCAAGAGGACTTAACAATGGAAATTCAGCAGCCAGAGGCTGCAAGTTACCTCAGTTATCCTTTCAGCCAAAGATCATCTAGGACTTGAATGAGTAATTTTCTCCACCCTATCCAGACCATGTCGGCCATTCATCTCTTCAGGCAAGGATTCTTATGTGACTGATAACAGAGATTTACCAGTCAAATCACCTTCACTTGATAAAGGAACAACGTCTTGCAGTTAGATTGCTGGAACATTTATCCATCAAGGAAGTGAGAATAAGCAATTTAGACGAAACTGCTTGGCTTATAAACAATATTCAGTGACTAAACTATTGGTTTGCCTCGGGAATTTCAGAAGATGCTTTCTTCAACTTATGAAGCTGATGCTGTGGATGATCCATCAACCATTAAGATGTTGATTGCAGGAGATACTATTCATATGATCCACAGCTCTGTTGACAGCATGGCAAAGACGTTTTTTTATTCTGTTGTGGCCTTCAGTAAATTATCTGTCATTTTTTTTTTCAACTGGAATCTTTCCCATAATTTTTTTCTATATTAACGTTTGGGAATTATTCATGATCCATCATGTTACGATAACTTACAGTTTCACTTTCTGGTATTTCATGGCTTTGCGCGTAGGAATGTCAACACCAGTCTTTAACAAATAGAAACTTGTAGATTTTAAAGCCTGCAGGCGTCAGCAGGCCCTGATAACCAACTGGCAAGTTAAAGTATTGCAAACACTGTATATAACTCCAACTTGAGGTTGATTGTTGTGAACCTGGAAACAATTCTTGCTGCATTTAGTGTGTCTAATGCCTCAAATTGTACACTTAAGAAATTAAGAGCAGGTTATATCCATTCAGCCATCATCAGAAGTACAGTTAGCAAGAAATGATGTCATAGTCCACCATAATATTAAATACAGCAGCAAGTCCATTTGTTGTATTATTAGATTGTGAGTTTTATGGGATGCACTCTGGGCCCACCAAGCCTCTGGGGGATTCATCAATCAAGTGTTCGTGGGACATATTCATAAGAATTTAGAATACTACCACTAACACTTGATGTAAAGGCCCATCCGTCCTTCCTCAAGATATTCCAGAGTATGCCTCCGTTGTTGTACCCAAGAAAACATTATGAGGTTTCCTGCACTTTAAGTGAAGGGAGATAACTCCTACAGATAGTTCATGGAGTACAACTGGTATATAGACAACACAAAACCATGGACTTTATGGACAAATTTTATTCAAGCTGCCCCTGTAGAATCAGAAACAGGTTTTAAAAAAAAGGCAATCAAGTGTTAGAGGTAGTATTCTAAGAATTATTTTGGATAATGTTCCAATATTTTGTCCTTTCCATTATTGGCAGTATCAGACACTGATGGTGCAGATGGAGAGGTGACGGAGGGCAATGTACAGAAGAAGATAATGCCGTGGCGTTTGATGACTCCTGATGAAGATTCCAACCCAGACAATGAGATGAATGTGAAGAAAGTTCACAAAGCTGGAGGGCTGGTCTTGATCACTTCACTCATTGACAAGTTACCCAACCTCGGAGGTAAGCTGACCAGCTCTCTTGGTTCCTTTAGAACAAATACTGTGTCCACTTCATGAACATGACATGTTACTAGGGTAATTTAATGTGCTATATATGCCCTTGTGGCTGGCTTGTATCAAGGAAATATATTATCCAAGAATTATGTCTCAACACTTAACACTGAGCATCTTAGCGCCACTGAGCATCTGAAAGGTGGACATTAGGCGCTCTACAAAGTTATTATTATTATTATTAAATACATGTTAAATAAAATAACAAGTTCACATTATAAATTAAATATAAATCTGATTTTGCAGATGCACTGAATAAGTACCTAGTCTCCTCAATAAATCTGAGGCCCCACCATAATATGGAAAATATGATATATGCGTCATGATATATGTTTGAGAAAACATAATATTCCACAGGTCTGTGTCGTACAAGTGAGATCTTTGGCGTATCAGAGTTCATTATTGGGAATCTGGCCTTCATTGAGGACCGAACCTTCCAGTCACTGAGTGTTACAGCACACAAGTGGATTCCTATCACTGAGGTACCACTGACAGTTTCATGGTAGATATAGGTCACTTTGGTACCACTGACAGCCTTTATTGTAGATATAGGTCACTGAGGTACCACTGACAGCGCCATGGTAGACATAGGTCACTGAGGTACCACTGACAGTTTCATGATAGATGTAGGTCACTTTGGTACCACTGACAGCCTTTATTGTAGATATAGGTCACTGAGGTACCATTGAAAGCTCCATGGTAGAAATAGGTCACTTTGGTACCACTGACAGCCTTTATTGTAGATATAGGTCACTGAGGTACCACTGACAGCCTTTATTGTAGATATAGGTCACTGAGGTACCACTGACAGTTTCATGGTAGATATAGGTCACTGAGGTACCACTGACAGCTCCATGGTAGATATAGGTCACTGAGGTACCACTGACAGCCTTTATTGTAGATATAGGTCTCTGAGGTACCACTGACAGCTCCATGGTAGAAATAGGTCACTTTGGTACCACTGACAGTTTCATGGTAGATATAGGTCACTGAGGTACCACCAAGAGCTCCATGGTAGATATAGGTCACTGAGGTACCACTGACAGCCTTTATTGTAGATATAGGTCACTGAGGTACCACTGACAGCCTTTATTGTAGATATAGGTCTCTGAGGTACCACTGACAGCTCCTTGGTAGATATAGGTCACTTTGGTACCACTGACAGCCTTTATTGTAGATATAAGTCACTGAGGTACCACTGACAGTTCCATGGTAGATGTAGGTCACTTTGGTACCACTGGCAGTCTTTATTGTAGATATAGGTCACTGAGGTACCACTGACAGTTTCATGGTAGATATAGGTCACTGAGGTACCACTGACTGCCTATATTGTAGATATAGGTCACTGAGGTACCAAGGACTGCTCTAAGGTAGATGTGGCATGTCACTCACTGTTCCATGGTAGATGTATCAGACCCAGGTCACAGTTACTTCTTAGACAGGTTTTAAACAGTGTTGAAAACTTTGTCCATGTGCAGTGTCTTGTTACAGGTGCCTGACCACAGATTGCAGGAGTTTATGCAGGTTAAAAAAAGGGATGGGTACACACTAGTTGGTGCAGAGCAGACAGCTAACAGTGTGTGTCTCACTCAGTACAAGTTCCCCCAAAAGACTTTACTGCTCCTTGGGTAGGTAACTTTCCAGGTTTACCCTCTGCACACAAGACCAACAGTTACTAGTTCACTACATGTGTAGTATGTTGCTCAGTTAGTTGTCAGTTTGTTGATGAGAATAGTATATTTGGTATTCAATAAACCTTCTGTTTGGCAGGAATGAGAAAGAGGGCATCCCAGTCAACTTGATCCAACTGCTGGATGCCTGTGTAACAGGGCATCATCCGCAACAGGAGTGGGGGCTGTTGTTGGTGTCATCCGCAGATGGAGGCAGCCACAGCAACCTTTTAGCAACATCCACGTAAGTGGGCAATGTCCACGCGGAGTTGGGAATCGCTGGTGTGGGCAGATGGAGGCAGCCACAGCATCCTTTTAGCAACATGGAGGCAGCCACAATGTCCTTTTAGCAACATTACAGCATGGAGGTCATTACATATGAAGCTCCAACAATGTCCACGGAGTTGGGAATCGCTGGTGGGGAGTACCCCGCAGCAGATGGAGGCAGCCACAGCATCCTTTTAGCAACATTACAGATAGAGTCAAACAATGTCCACGTGAGTTGGGCAGCACGCTACCGCTGGTGTGGAGGCAGCCATGCGCCACCTTTAGCAACATTACATATGCAGCAGATGGAGGCAGCCACAGCCTCCTTTTTAGCAACATTACAGATAGAGTCGAACAATGTCCACGTGAGTGGGGAATCGTTGGTGTGGGAGTACGCCCGGCAGCAGATGGAGGCAGCCACAGCAACCTTTTAGCAACATTACAGATAGAGTCGAACAATATCCACGTGAGTGGGGCATCGTTGGTGTGGGAGTACGCCCGGCCGCAGATGGAGGCAGCCACAGCAACCTTTTAGCAGCATTACATATGAAGTCAAACAATGTCCACGTGAGTTGGGCGTTGCTGGTGTGGGAGTACGCCCGGCCGCAGATGGAGGCAGCCACAGCAACCTTATAGCAACATTACAGATAGAGTTGAACAGCGTCCATGTGAGTTGGGCATTGCTGGTGTGGGAGTATTTAGACAACAGTCTTAGCGATGGTATTGTTTTTGTACAGTCACATTAAAACCTGCATCAATATGGAAGGAATATGACTTTCTTCAGTTATTTATGGTTATCCAAGCTCTTGGATGCAAAACACCAACATTTCAAGTGAATCTGTCCTATTAACTGAGCAATGTAATTCATCTCCTATCAAAGATGACCGCCCCTGTGGTGTAGTGGTTAGAGCGTCCACCCGGAGAGCGGAATGTCGCGGGTTCGATCCCCGACCGCGTCATACCAAAAGACGTTAAAATATGGTACTTGCTGGTGCCTGCCTGGCGCCCGGCATTAATGGGTACAACAAGGACTGGTTGGCTCAGAGTCAGTATAATGTGTCTGAGTGGGGTATTCATGCTTCACTGCGGCATGGTATCTCAGTGGGCTAGCACTATAAAACCAGCTTAAGTCTGGGCTAGTACAAGCAGCCACACATACACATACACGCATGCATGCACGTCGTAGTATGAGCGAAATATTCTCGAACACGACGTAAAACCCAATTTCACCTCACCTCACCTCACCTATCAATAATGAGGAAGTAAAAATGTCTCCTCAACTCCAAAAACATGTTAATTGGGTAAGCCATATGAGTCTGCAAAGACTGCACAAACAGCAGATACTAGTACAACATGAGTTAACAAAACATGGTGTATATACATGTTTACCACACTTTGACCAATAGTCACCTGACATACACAGCATGAGCACAATAAGTTTATATAAATAATAATAATATATATATAGGTTTATATAGCGCCAATATCCAGATGAGTCCTGCTCAAAGTCGCTTTGGTATGAGTCACTCGAACAGTAATATGATTTGAAAAAGAATGTTTTTAACTTTCTCTTAACTGTACAGATTTCCTCTGCACTTTTAATGCCCAATGGGATGTTGTTCCAAAGCATAGGGCCTGTTTCCAAATGGAAAGCAATGAACCTGTTTCCAAATGTCTTTGTCGTCATACGAGGCACAACTATTATCTGGGCACTACTAGAACGTAGGGAACGGGACGGTTGATGGAACTTGATCAATTCGTTGATGTACGATGGGCAAATACCGTGAACAGCTTTGTATACAAGCACAATAATCTTAAATTCTATATGTTTGATTATTGGGAGCCAATGCAGCTGCATAAGAACTGGAGTTATGTGCTCATATTTGCCAGTTCGGGAGATACTACATTTTGTACCCACTGTAACTGCAATTCGGTGTTTTGGTAACCCAACCAAGAGAGCATTGCAATAATCCAGACGGGATAACATGTATGCCTGGATGAGTGATGCAGGCACACGTGTGTTTATATACTATACCTGCTTATTAGAGCAATGTTCCTGATCTGGAAGCATGTTTGTTTGCAGATTTGACTGATATGGTCTTCAAGTGAGTCCTGAATTACTCCCAGATTGCGAGCCTTTTTACTTGATTCTGTCATACTGTCACCAATTTTGAAAGCAGGCAGTTAGAGTTTGCTCTGTCTTTCGTCATTAAGCTTCAAAAAGTTGATAGCCATCCATTCACGGATATCAGAAACACATTGAGATATCACAGCAAAGGAGAATTTAACTGATGGTTTACTTTTTGGTCTAAAAGATATGTACAATTGGGTGTCATCTGCATACAGATGGAGTTGCAGATTATAATTTCGCATGGCATCCTCAAGAGGTGAAGGGTACCTTGTGAACAGGATCGGACCAAGGAATGATCCCTGTGGAACTCTGAAGAGCAGTTAGCACACATGATCCTTGTTCCTCTTCAAACCCAGCTGGGTTTGTACAGACGGGTCAAGCATGCCCCACTGACCTGTGTTAGATGCTTGGCGAGGGAAGTCAACATCTGTCATTCGAACACTGCAACTTCCCACAGCAGTAAAGTTAGATCTTCCAGGTGACCGCACTGGAATCGTGGTTAGTTGAATATTCAGAATATGGCCGTCAGTGTTAGAAAGTATATGTATGTAAACCAGCCAGAGTTGGGCAGTTAGAGTTAAGAACTGAAGTCTTGATGTCAAGAAATCCAAGAACTAAACTTTGTGGACCTAAGCTAGACTATATATCAAAATATTGTGCCCAGTTTTACTTGGTTCGTATCGAACTCAGTTCTCTGCTGTGCAAATTCAAAGATGGCCTATCATATAGAACGGGGTGTTCTGTGCTTTGTGGAATAGAAGCTATTGTCTAGATAATGAAATCTTGACCACTCATATTGATTTATTTCATTAGAAGCAATGTGTGCAGTTTGAATTCGTCAGTTCCAACAAGTCACCGACCATGAATATTCCATACATTTTCCTGTCATATACTACTCAAAGTTTCTCAAGGTTCACCACTTTGATAGGTAATATGTCAAATTGACCACAGCTGTTGCAATATCCAGAGGCAATATTCCATGAAGGCACATCTAATGAAGAGAACTTGAGTGCGTGCCACACTGCCAACAAGCAGCATGGAAGCAATAATTAGTGCGATCCAATTTAGAGTATTTAACCTGAAACGAAAGAAAGAAATCACAAATTTACTGTTAAAAACGACTAGGCAGAGCGTACGTGCTCCACGTAATGCGATCGCAGTCTGGTACCGTATTCTCATACGTTCCTGGATGGTTGCCAGGGGAAGATAATCCACTCTTCGGTATGTTCATTGCCGAGTTCCAGTGGAGTTGTCGGGAAGACGTGTTGCGCTTTGCAAAATGAACAATTTACTAAATACGGATTTCCTTCGTGTGGTATGCTGGAAACTAAACGTAAATCTCTTAATAATTTGATAAAATAGTTCTGGAAACAAATACAGGGAACTATATAGTTCAAAAAGTGTACATGGTATTCTCAAAGTCTGTTGCTATCATTTCTATCAATAGCCTAGTTTTAATGTAACTAGCTATGGTGCGTCCTATTGCGACACGGTATGTAATTGCGTTGTAGGTTCTGTATTAGTCACACCTCGACCAGCTATCAAACGATTCCTTTGTACTATATACATCGTATGCTGACGATATCGAACACAATCTGACCTCAACTCGAGTGTGTCCGAATAGCATCGTCGTTTTCACACAGCAGGGGCCATGGCATACTTCCGAGTACCCCCATAGCAAGTGACAAGCAGGCTTTCGGTTCCATCTATCTGTTTATTCTTAACGTCTTTAAACCAATAAGGTTTAGATCTGGTGACGGGCTGGCCACACCATGCGGATAGTGATCTCCTGTTTTTCTGCAAAGTAGCCATCAACGATCCTTTGACGTTGTGGTCGTACTTTATTGTCCATGGGCATGAAATCCGGATTGCATACGGTCTCATATACACTTCCAGATTGCCAATCCTTAGCACACAGTGTCACCTGCCATCTCCTCTGGACATGGCAATGGGCTCCTCCTGATCCAGTCATCTCATCCACGACTGAGCCCCCTCCAACTACATCCCGAAATCGTTTTCCTTGTCTATGCCACACCAGGGCATGAAGACTGCGAAGTTTGGGAGTAGGCCACCGTCACTACTGTGAGGTAGAACCACCTCTTTTGGCCCGACATACACTCAATTTTTGAGGCATGCTTCAAATGAGTCGACCAATGTCATCTTATCTCGATTCATCAATAAAAAGTGCAGGAGCCCACTATTGGTCTGTCCGATTGGTCAGAAATGAGTGCACCGCGAGTAGTGCATTGGTGCTGTCCCGACAGTAATGACTCATTACTCTGCCAAGAACAACCTGGACCGCAGTCTTTCTGTCTTTCTGATACCACGACTTACCATTATGGACCCAATTTGTCCGGGTGTACGACATTAACCTCCATAAAACACAATGTCATCTTAAAAAATCTCGATTCCTTCAGCCATGGAGGTCGAGAGTAAACCACATTAGCCCAACGTCGATACACTCAGTACCAGAGACACCACTGGGCAATATATCCCCTACTTGTATTACACAGTATAGTTTGCTGATGTGGCATTAGCATGTAGTTTCCACATCCAAGATCTATTGGTATACTTTAAAACTCGAGTAAAGTTCGATGTGTAACAAAGTCGTCACAACTTACAGTTATAAATAAATACACTATGTAATAAACATTATGATGTGGATACGGTTGAAAGCATACTTGAATAAGGGAGCACAAGGGATCGTTCACTATCAAGACAGGACAGCTGCGGACTGATAGGAGTTCATCTATTCTCGTTGCAATGTAATATATATTGTGTTCGTTTATTACTTGCCTCAGACTACGTACACCAATTGTACGTGTTCCACATAGAATGTATGTCCATGCGTGTGTATATGCGTAGGACTAATTATTTCACTGATTTGAAAGAAAAAAAGAAACGTTGAAATATTGGCATCCGCTAGACTCTACCAGATAAACATTATTCAAAGCCAGAGTTTCACCTAACAGATGGACCCGTGCGTGAACGTGGTGTTACACCGCTGTATAGTGTAATTTAGAACAATAATCAGAATACGCTCAAGGGATCTGAAATGACCCCATGAGCCATGATAATAAAATCACAAAATAAACGCCGATGTAAAGCGTGCGTAAAATCCCCATGTGCCTGTCTGACGATCTCTGGTGCAGTCAGACTGTCGGCTGTGTGGAGTCTGACTTCTTTCTTCTGTCAGCTGCAGATTATCTGAAACCCCTTACATCCTGCGTCAAATTACACAGTCACAGTGTTCTGTGGGTAGCATGTTTCACATTATACGGTGTTCTGTGCGTAGCATGCGTCACATTACACAGGGTTCTGTAGGTAGCATGTTTCACATTACACAGTATTCTGTAGGTAGCATGTTTCACATTACACAGTATTCTGTAGGTAGCATGTTTCACATTACACAGTATTCTGTAGGTAGCATGTTTCACATTACACAGGGTTCTGTAGGTAGCATGTTTCACATTACACAGGGTTCTGTAGGTAGCATGTTTCACATTACACAGTGTTCTGTAGGTAGCATGTTTCACATTACACAGTATTCTGTGGATAAAATATGTCACATTACACAGTATTCTGTGGGAAGAATGTGTCACATTATGCAGTATTCTGTGAGTAGACTGTGTCA